GAACCAACTGGTTCATGGCTGAACAGTATAAACAGATTAATGTCCATAAATTGATTATAAATCAATTGAACTGATTGGTAACAATAATCATGAACTGATTAGTGACAATATAACCAAAATCACAGACACGACTTGTGACTGATAACAACATCTCACACTGTAATGCATGCAGACAGAAGTGAGCTTAAACAGAGTTCCATGAGAACAACAATATTCATTCTGTTAGAGCACTAAGGACAGAATGTGTCATGGAACGAGCCGTTACATCACGTAGGTAAAAGCGAATAAATGAGCAGGGTGTTGACCATGCAGCCGCAGTGCAGATGTCCTGCATTGACATACCATTATGCAGAGCAGTCGAAGATGCGATACCCCTGGTCGAGTGTGCTTAGAGGTTGACAGGAGGCTCTAAATCTGATGCTCTGTAGGCTTCAGAAAAGGCCTCACACAGCCAGTGTGACAAGCGCTGGATGGATAACGGCGACCTGTAGAAGCATCTCTATAATGCACAAACCATTGTTGAGTTGAAACGCATTGCAGCTGTGTGCGTTATGTAACACGTCAACGCCCGCACCGGGCAGAGAAGATGAAAAGATGCTTCCTCTTCTGATCTGTGGGGGGGAAAAGACCCCTCCAACGATATCACTCTTGATTTAAAAGAGCTCGTGATGTTTTAGGCATAAAAGCTGGGTTGGTCTTAAATCAGCTGAGCTGCCCGTCAGCCTAATTCTAAGGCATGACGAAGCAACAGAGAGGGCAGATAAATACTTACCCTCTTAGCGGGTGTTAAAACCAGCAACAGGGCTGTTAAAAGAGACAAGAATTTAAATGAAACCTGATCCAGAGGCTCAATTGAAGCTTTGATCAGGGCTCGCAGGACCAGCGTTAAACCCACTGTGGAAAACAAGTGGGCGTGAAAAACAGGCCTACATCTCTGTACACCTTTTAGAAACCGCTTCATCAGCGGGTGATAAAAGCTGTTCTGTCTCCAAACCCTTTGTGGCAGGAAGAGATGGCTGCAATCGTACGTTAAAGCGTACTGAAAGCCAACTCCCTATCCATCAGCTGTTGTAGAAAAACAACACGCCGCTTAAAAGGCATGAGGTGGTCTCTAAACCTTCTCTGTGCACCAGCGCTGAAAAGCCGTCCCCTTGATGTGTACAGAACTGTGGTAGATGCAGCACGTGAATCTTGAATTGTGCACACTATCTCCTGAGGGAGACCCATCCTCTAAGTGGAACCGCTCAGCGGTCAGACCCACCGGTGTTGACCTATTTCTGGGTAACTCTTGGTCGCTCCTCCTGCCTGAAGGAGAGCATCCTTCCTCCATGACAGTTCCACGGCGACCCAACAACAGACGTTGCAGGCCTGGGAACCATAGTGCGTTCACACGCCGGGAGCCACCAAGGAGGGCTGTCAATCCCTCCTCTTGAACTCGGTTCATGGACCGTAAAAAAACAGAGGAGGTGGGGGGGAAAGAAACGCGTAAAAAGCGTTTTGGGCCACCGACTGTGAGCAAATGCGTCCCCCCCCAGCGATGGATCGTCTCGCGGGCTCAGGGAAAACCGTAGTTGACATTGAGCGTTCTTCTCGCATCGCAAACAGGTCCACAGCTGCTTTGCCAACTTCTGCTGCGTCTGAAAAACATCAGATCCGGATGGAGGATCCGGTCCACGTAACGTGGGCCGCCCTTGGACGTCACATCAGAACACCGGATATGTAAACCGCTCTAATAAAAGCAGGTTTTGATGAACCCAACTCAGTAGCTTTCGCACAATGTGTAACATCTGGCTGAACGCACACCCTGATGGTTATGTATGCAGCAGTCATCATGATGTCTGTGTGAATCAACACGTGTTGATTCTGTAGCACAGGAGCAAGGTGTTGAATCACATTCAGTACTGTGCGACACTCCAAAACATTGATGTGGGCTGATGTGTAGTGGGGCCACAGCGCCCCTACTGCTTGAGATAGGTATGTCCCCCCCCCAGCCTGACAGCAACGTGTCCGTGAAGACTGACCCATGACGTGGGTCTGCTGAGGGGGACTCCCTCTGATAGAAAAACAAGGTGTTTCCCCAGAGTCGGAGGTCTGCTTCCACAGAGGAAAAGACAATGATCATCCGTCGTTGTTTTACTGGATCCACATGCAGACGTGCAAAAACACCTCTAGAGGCGTCTCATGTGATAAATGAGTTTTCATGGTGGTTGAATTTAATTCCACTCCAGAAAAACAAATGTCTGGGCCGGGAAAATCGAGCTTCCTTCCACTTATGGCGAAGCCCAGATTAACAGGTGTGATGTCAACACCTGATCCTGCATCAGCGCCTCCTGTCTGAAGTGACAGGATCCGCAGATCATCCAGGTAAAAACAAAAAACTCTCGTCTCTGTGTTTTAGGATGATCGGTATGCGTTCTCTGGATGTTAAAACAACAGATCCAAGAACGGTCTCACCCCTCCGATCCGTGAGTAAAAACCCTCGTGTTTTCTCTCCCTTGGGGAACTCTGTAGATTACTTTTATCAGAAAACACTTGGATTTCTGCATTTAGGGAAGAGAATCAGTCTGATGATGATGACGGGACCGTTTATATAACTCCTCTGAATGGAGGGGTTCGGGTTGCAAACTGTAACTTGTACCATTTGCATAAACCCTGTCCATCCATCTGAAAAACGGCGAGCATGTTTTGCCACTCTACGTAACGTTCGTGGATGAACGTGCGTTAATGATGCGTCATGTTTTGTACGGCTGTCAGCAGTCCGTCCCTCAACCGCCGTCATGCGTCGCGGGAATGTTTTCTGTGTGACCCCGGGCGAGACTTGAGCTGAAGGCGAAGCGTGTGACAGCTAATGACGCGGTGGGGCTGCGCGTTTGACGTCGCTGTGCGAACGTTGAAAGGCGGAGGGCGTGACTTCATTTACACCGTGCTGTTGGAGTGAAGGCTGCTTAGCCCCGCGGGAGCACACGTTGTTCTCTGGAGGGACGCGCGCCGCTCTCGCTGGAGGGGCGCGCGCTAGAGGGAGGTGGGACTCATTACCGGATTCTTCGGCTGCTTCACGTTTAAGCTGCGGTGAGCTGCCGAAAGCTGAGAGAGAAGGACCCCCACCCGGACCAGCCTGCGGACCACATTCATACCGATGTGAGCTGGTTAGCGCCGGCAGCTGTGTGTGTGCGCCAGCATCAACGCAGCGCCGTTGGATGGAGGCTGTCCATCTTAGTGATCGACTCGTCATGTCAGAGCGGCGGTGAGTTAAAAACCTGTTTAAGGACACCGGCTCATGTGGAGGCTGTTCCATCCCACGAGTGCGAGTTGACACCGCTTGAGTGAGGATCGTGCAGTTCTAGTTGGTAATGAGTTATTTTCGCTTACCGTTGTGCCGTGATCGACTCGTCATGTCTAGAGCGACGGTGAGTTTAAAAACCTTTAATTAAGGACACCGGCTCATGTGTGGAGGCTGTTCTGTGATCGACTCGTCATGTCTTAGAGCGACGGTGAGTTAAAAAACCTTTATTTAAGGACACCGGCTCGTGTGTGGGGCTGTTTCATCCCACGGGTACGAGTTGACATCACTTGGGTGAAAAACGTGCAGCCCGGGATTATAACGAGTTATTTTCACTTACCATCGTGCCCTGTAAGCGATTAATAATGTCTTGGAGCGGCGGTGAGTTTAAAAAGCCTTATAAAGGACACCGGCTCTTATGTGTGCGGCCGCTGTGAGCTCATCCGGGCTTACAGACTGGCTAAAAAACAGACACTTGATCATTAATGATGATTTATTTCAACTTTCGTGTCACTTTTACACACACCCTCCGGAGACCGTCATTTTGAGAGCTTTCTCTCTCATGAGCTCTGCGATTGTTTGCCCAGAGCGCTGTCTTGCAGGCGAACTCTGGGGAAACGCTGAGCTGCAGGCTGCCGGAGTGCAGAGGGCTGGATTCTGACGGGCGGGGCTGGTGGTGGAACTCAGCGAGAGCCGCGGCCGTGGAAAAGTCGAAGCTTGCTCGCGACGGTCCCTCCAGCGGGACAGGGTGGGCCGCGCGGCTTGATGAGGTGGTGCACAGCCTCTGGCACCTCCTCCGACTGTTTCACTTCGCCAGCATGGTTTGAAGCTGCTCTGAACAGCGCGTCCGCGATGTTTCATCAGGTCTTGTGCAGATTCTCCGGCAGCGAGGGGAGTAACGAAACCAGGTGGGTCGTTGGGTCGTCGTCCTCCGCGCTGCAGTCCTCGACAGGCAAACCGTGGGAGAGGCACACATGTTGAGCTGGCGTCAGCTGCCTGACAGAGGGAGTTCTTTGTCTCCAAGGCAGGTCTGCGGCCTTCAATCCCTTGGACATGCTATGTGCTAGCAGCGCGCGTTGTTGCTAACTGCGGCTGCCTGAAAAACACATTGGTGGGCTCGATTCGAGAGCGTGTTCGCCGTCTGGTTCGTGTTCCTCCGGAGGGACGGGACGCTGCTCCGGCCTGGGCAGCTTCGCTCCGGAAGCTTCCGCGAGGCTTGGCTCCAGGAGGGGTTACCGAGGAATAGCCCCGCTCGGTGAATCCCTCAACTCTGGTGATGGGAGCGGACTGGGGACCGACTCCTCTAATCTACCAGGAAAGAACCGTCTGCGGCCTCGCCCGTGGAACGTCCTGTTGGAACGTGAGGCCGTATGGATCAAGACGGTGAGCCACAGTGGAGCCCAGTGAAAAACAACCTTCCCGCCGATCATCCGAACTGGCGGGAAAAGGCGAGGGACGTAGAAAAAAGGGGTCCCTTCATGTCAGCCTCCTCCCGGGTTCCGCCGGGCAACCCCTGAGGGCGCCGTCGGCCGGGAGCGGTGTGATCGCCGATGCGAAACGAGGTGGGATGGGGTGAGCATTCACTCAGCCCCCCTCCACCTACACTACGCTACCCGGGAGGGAATGAGCAGCGGGGGCTGCAGCTGAGCACGCCTTGCCCCGGAGGAACCATCCGGTTCGCCCCGAGGGTCGGCGATAAGAGGAAAAAACACAAGATGGCGTTGTCCAGCGTGTAGTGACCTGTCACTGGGAAATGTTCCACGACGCTTACCTTGGAATAAGACTGCTGTCATCTTCTCCTCGGGGAGGAGAACTCACCGGACGACCGGAGGTCGACTGCCGGGCCCAGCATCCTTCACAAGGTTGGTCATTTACACAACTTATCTTCTTTGTTCTTCTGACAGTGCTATATTAGCTCGCTGAAGAAAAAATGGGAGCCGATTTCCCGCTCTTAACGTAATTTATACGGACCGGGTAGGGCCCACACAGCAGGTGGGCGTGGACTAATTTTTTTTCAGTGCTTATGCTCTGCATAACGGGATAAACCCACTAAAGCGAAGGCCTTAAAGGGCGAAGCTTATATGACATAGAACTCTTGTAAAGGTCCATCCCACACTGGATCCTAAGAAACTGCCTGCAGATGCCGTCCGATCCGTCCACCCAGACTCTGCTGGCCTCTCGGTTCCCCCGGGCTGTAGGACCGCCCAAATGCTGGGCAGAACTCCTCCCACAGCGATGGCCACTCCTCCCAGCAGCTTGTTGAGCTCCTCGTAGCTGCGGACAGCCAACTGTAGGTGCCGAGGGACGATCCAGTCCTTCTGCTGTCATGAGCCGTGTTTCCTGCTAGTTCCAGGATCTCAGTGGTCAGGCACTCGAGCACAGCTGGCAGGTAGATGAGAATGCATCCACAGAACATCCTTCTCAACTCATTTGAGATTTGGGGCTGTAGTTGAGATATTATTTGAGCTTTTGAGATGTTAATCAGCTGCTGGTTGTAGAAAACTGCCTTGTTGCCATGGTTACGCATCATAACAAATGTCCAAAACTAAAAAAGTTTCAGTAAAAATCCTTCCAGCTGCACAGCATCTGATACCAGAGGAAACCATCATCCAGAAAATGTGATTTACATCCAGAAAAAGAGGAATTAAAGTTTCCAAAAGCAAAATCTCAGAATGAAAGTAGAGCTGCTCCAACATGCAGCCACCTGGAGCGGAGCAGTTCTGGAACAATTCTAGAATTACTTCCATAACTGAGCTTCTCTAAATCTCTCAACTTGTTCTGAGGTGGTCTGACCTCCAGCAGAACCTTCAGAACCTTCGGTCAGCTGGACAATATTTAATAAAATCTCAAGCCTTGACTGGTTTTTGTCTCCGTGTCTGATCAAAGTGCAAGGGAAGGACTGAAGTCTGTCCAACATGTCCACTGGGACATGGACAGAGTCCCTTACGTGGACTCGTGTCCAAGCGGCTGCGTACAGACCTGCTGAGTGCGATGAACGCAGCGGACCGCCATCCACTTCTGCTCCGAGGAGAACGGGTGCTCCTCCAGACGAACGTACTCCTGCTGCACGCTCTCCAGACCCATCTGAAGGACACACGCACACACAGTTACACTCCTGCAGAGGAACCTGCAATCCAGGCCACTGATGGACCTGGTTCAGGGTCAAAACTGGTCCGCAAGACCTAAAGACCTAAAGGAGTTCTGAAGGAACCTTGCTCCACCTCAGTGGAACCACAGACTGAAGAACCGGACCAGGTTCATGAGAGGAACCTCAGAAACTTTCTGCTGCAAACCCAAAAGTACACACTTTGATCAGACTTGGATCTGGTCCAGGCAGTCATGGGGACTGCCAGGTTCTGGACCATCAGAACTGTAACTGCAGCCTGAACCAGGACCTGCTAATGAGTGCAGAGTGAAGTTTGGGGCGGTACCTTCATGGCGAGGGCGATGAGCGCACCCTCAGTGGGCCGTCCCAGCAGGTTGTGGTTCCTGATGACCGAGTCGTTACACACACAACCCACCTGGCAACACACACACCGAAACAAAACTTGGGTTTGGAATCAAGGAACCAAAGATCTTCAGGGCTGAACATCATGTCTTTACCTCCACAATTTTACTGATAGAAGGGCAGGAGAAGCCGTGGACCATCTCCCCCTCCAGCAGAACCTCTCCCACTCCGTTGTAGCCAACGCCCGTCACCTGCAAGACAACGCTGAGGGTAAACAAACTAACAGGACTGGGGGCTTTCCCAGTGCTGGTCCTGGTCCCACACAGCTGACCAGACCCAAACATCTCGTCATGAATGTCAGTGAAAGATCTGAGATCGCCTCATGGAATGGAAGCAGGCAACAAAATAAGTTGGGAAATAAATAAAAATGCATCTTGGATAATAAACTAAACATTTATATTTAATTTTATTTCATAGGAACATTTGGTTATTTGAAGGAATATTGACTAATAATTTCTAAACATTTAATTTAATTTGAAATGAAATGGCTTTCCATAATGAACAACCCTTTGTTAAAATGAGGTCTCTCTTGTAAATGAGTCCCTGAGGCTCAATGGGATTAACCTGTCTAGATTAAAACTGAATGAACAGGACTCTGAAGTCTTGGAGCTGCAGATCTGGTCTAACGGCTCCTCTACAGAAGGAGAAACTCTGCTGTCAGAAGATCCTTGAAATCTTTGATCTGAAGTCAAACCATTTTGAGATGAACAGCTGATTCTAGATTTGATTACATTCATCTGGACTCCTGCAGCTCTCCGTGTCTCTGTTAGCCGGGACAGGCTGGTCCTCGAGAGGTGACCTGGTCTTCAGGTGAACGAACCAACCAATGAATGAACCAACCGACGAAAAAACGAACCAACCGACCAATGAACCAATGACCCGACCGAACGAACAGACTAACCAACTGAACGGACCAACCGGCCGTCTATCTATTCATCTTCTTCCGCTTGTTCCAAAGCTCGGGGACAGCAGCTGGAGCAGGGAGGTCCAGACATCTCTCTCCACAGCCACATCTTCCAGCTCTTCTGGGAGGACTCCAAGGTGTTCCCAGGCCAACTCTCCAGTGTGTCCTGGGTCTTCCCCGGGGTCTCCTCCCAGTCAAACATGCTCAAACCACCTCAACTAACTCCTGGATGTGGAGGAGCAGTGGTTCTACTCTGAGTCTCTCCTGATAACTGAACTTCTCACCCTGTCTCTAAGGAGAGTCCAGCTACTCTGCAGAGGAAACTCATTTCAACCTCCTGGATCCACAATCTCATTCTTTCAGTCTCTACCAGAGTTCATGACCAGAGGAGAGGGGAGGAACGTAGACCGACCAGTAAACAGAGAGCTTTGTCTTACAGCTCAGCTCCCTCTTCACCACAATGGACCAGTACAGAGTCCACAATACTGCAGATGCTGCACCAATCCATCTGTCAATCTCACGTTCTATTCCATACTCGTGAACAAAACCCTGAGATACTCGAACTCCTCCACTTGAGGCAGAACCTCACCCTCGACCTGAAGAGAACAATCCACCTTTTTCTGACTGAGGACCACGGCCTCAGATCTGGAGGTGCTGGTTCTCATCCCAGCTGCTTCACACTCGGCTGTGAACCGCTCCAGTGAGAACTGAAGACCACGGCACGATGACGCCAACAGGACCACATCATCTGCAAAGAGCGGAGATGAATCCTGAGGCCACCGAACTGGACTCCCTCCACCCCCTGGCTGCACCGAGAAGTTCTGCCCATAAAAGTTCTGAACAGAATCTGAGACAACGAGCAGCTCTGGTGGAGTCCAACTCTCACCCTGAAGGGTCCGACTTACTAGCAGCAACACAAACCAAGCTCTTGCACCGCTTGTATTGGGACTGAACAGCCGATAACAACTGGCCCCCAATCCCAAACTCAGAGCCCCCCCACTGCGTACCCCGAGGAACACGGTTGAACACCTTCTCCAGGTCCACAAAACACATGTAGACTGGATGGGCAAACTCCCATGACCCCTCAAGGACTCTAGTGAGGGTAAAGATCTGGTCCAGTGTTCCAGGGCCAGGACGGAACCCACATTGTTCCTCCTGGATCTGAGGTTCCACCAACGATCGAACTCTCTTCTCCAGTACTCCTGAACAGACCTTACGGGGAGGATAAGGGGAGTGATGCCCCTGTAACTGGAGCACACCCTCCGGTCCACCCCAGTCTGACAGCCCAGTGGCACCGCCCCCGATGTCCACGCAATCTTTTTATTCATGCATTTATTTATTCACAGCCTCTTTTATGTTTTATTTTATGTCTTTATCTCATTTTAGAAGTTTTTATTCTTCTGTCTTTATGGTCTCCTGTTTTGTTGCGTCTTCTCATCATTTGTAGAATCTGCAGCACTTCGGCCAAACACAGACCTGTAACCTCGCTGCCTCTAAACTCGACAGAACACGTCTAAAGACTCGGACCTCGGCGTGGAGTCCGTCTGAGGTGAAGATCTGGGTGGCGGTCATCTCGTTCTTGGTCAGAGTTCCTGTCTTGTCTGAACAGATCACATTGCAGCAGCCTGGCAGAAAAACAAAAACCTTACGGTTAACACGAAGAACCCCACACAGGCAGCAAAAAGACCCAAGCCCGTCAGAACTGTACCCAGAGTCTCCACGATGGGGAGCTTTTTGACGATGGCTCTCTTCTTCACCATCCGCATCACGCCAAGCGCCAGCGTCACCGTCACCACGATGGGTAGGCCTTCAGGGATGGCCGCTACTGCCAGACTGAGGGAGAGGAGACAACCCACATCAGATCTTATCTGGACCTGGACCTCATCTCATCCTGTGATCTGTTAAAAGTGGTCCAGGTCAAAAAGTCTTCCTGAAGGTCTTTGTGTTAACTGAGGTGTGTTCTCCAACAATCCGTTTTAACCAGAACCTACCAGAGATAAACGACCTGCTCTGTGTGGACTTTAAAGTGTTTCATTCATATTAAAGTAACTCAGAGATTTTATTATCAAGTTCAAAAACACACTTTAAACTACAGCAGAGGTTTGTCTAAATGTAACTGAACGGAGCACAGCAAGAACACCTGGACCGACTAGTGAACACCTGAACCGACTAGTGAACACC